AACAGGCTTCATTTTCTTCTAGAGCAGACTAAAGCCCATCCCGTCCTCCTCCTTTCATACTCCTCAAACAAGGGCCACTGACTTTTCAGAGTGCGACATCATGACAGCTAAGCCTTTTAGCCCCACTCCCCAGCTTCTCCCACCTGCCAGTTTCCACATTTCAGTTCCTAGAAGACTGAGCCCAGAGGGATGGAGATTCAACCTTCCCTTGTAAGCATATAACTTCTACTTCAGCCAGGAAGAGCTAGGACAGAATTTGGAAAATGAATGCAGTTGTTACTCAAAACTCAATTCCATATCCCAGGAAGTAGCATAGGAAGGATGGTAGCATGTCCAAAATTTGAAGGCAGAGAGAGGGTGGCCATAAAAGTGCCCCCTGACCAGCCTGAATTCATGTGTTGGGCTGTCTACAAGTGAACCCATCTCCAAGCTACTTAGGCTGAGTTTGGGGACACTCAGCCAAGCTCTATGCCACATGTTCTCAGGTCAGTTCCACCCAGCTTGGCTGCGCTTGACGTAGAAGTGTGATTCAGTATTTGAAGGCTCTCCTTGGCTGACAACTCATGTAGTTGGATTCTTTCTGTCACTCTGTCCTTCCTTGTTAATTTGTTCCACTACTGCGAATGACAGATTCAGTTCTTTAGTTTCCCCAGGTAGCTGGAATGCCTGAGACCCAGCATGTTATTTTTGGATAAAACTTTCTTTCTTCATAGCACCGACCACCAGGTCCTTGTCCTGCCTTGACCTTTCTGTTTCATGGATACCCCGGCCACCCTTATTGATCCCCCAGCAATTTCCCCTTCAATTGATCGACATCTTTTGTTTCTTCAAATTCTTATGCAGATATGAGCTCTTCCCAATGTAACCTAGAGAAGAATTATCCTGAAGGACCACCAAGCCATTTATCTTCTCTCTACACCCACAGAGAGCCAACATCTAGTATCACAACCCCTGGCTACTGCTACTTCTTAGAAAAATGTCTGTTGGATGTGAAGTTTACATTTCAGCTAACCTACTTGCCTGCTATGAGACCTTGGTGAATTTCTTACCATCGCTGTGCCTGTTTTCTCATTTCAATAAATAGAGGTGACATCCATCACGTAGTTATTAAACTAATTCAATGAAGAGGCATACAAAACGCTTAGAAATCTTCCTACCACATAAATAAACATCTAGTGCTAGCCACTGCTGTTGCTGTATTTGCTATTAAATATATTACTATGTTTACTATTTCCTATTAAAATCGGTGATAATCTTATTTGCTTGTGTGCTTAGATACTAGGTAAAGTGTCTGGCATGAATAAACATTCAATAATCTTGAATAGATGAATAAATGGTCTTTTAGGCTTCTTATTCCAAAGGTTTTTCAATTTAAAGAGATGACCTACATGTTGATAACCATGCTTAAAACTTATATAACTAATGGTATGATTTCAGCATCTATAGGGCGGCGATTTCCAATCAACAGTTCTTCCCACTTTGCTTTCTGTTTAATCTGATGGTCAGTTCCTAGTAACATGGCTAGCTCTGATGTCCTGGTCAGTAGCTCGTTGTTCTTTTCCCTGGGGCTAAATTTCCTCCTTAACTGTAACAAAAGCAATAAAATGTTAGAAAGAACCAGCAAAGCAGTAAAGGATACAGAGGAAACTGCCAGCTCTGGAGACGGTATTTCCTGCTTTAGAAGCAGTACTTCCTGGGTCCTACCTGGGGCCCTAGTCATCACAATCTTTGGAAAGGCTGAGGCTCTAAAGTCAAGTGGGCTGTCCACTAGTAGACAGAGAGACTGAACACTGCAGGAGGCGGAACTGAGCCCAGGCACAATGAGGATCCTCCTAGACTCAAGTGCTAGGCTCTCATGGGCAGAGCGTTGCTCTCTTCCACACCTTATTAGAGAGCTCTGGTAATGGAGAGTGGAAATACTTTATTCAAACATTGCTGGACAGCCGGGATATGAATTTGCTATGGATGATCAAGACCAAATCTCAATAGATAGCCAAGTTACTCCGTTCCAGCTCAGAAGAAGAGGCAAATGAAGACCTGAGAGCTGCAGTAGCCCCCACTGGTACTGCCCATGCTGCTGACCGCAGGGATAATCCCAGATGCTTCTTACAGAACACAAGTGGGTGGGCGGTGTTTCAATTCTCCCTCCTTTGCTTTGGCAGTCTTTGAAAATATATCCTTTATTTGCACATGGCTCAATCAAATGTCACCAACTCCCAGATTGAACTGGAGTTATCTTATGTAAACACACACATACATTCTCCATCGCTGACATGGAGAGAAAGCTTGCTTTATCCAGTATTACACACCTTGTACTTTTTTCCCACTTAATATATTTTGGTGTTTGCGCTGTTTCAGAATACATGTACTTACACTATTGCTTTGGTGGATGCCTTAGATGGCTTTATAAAATGTGGTTTATTTAACAAGCTTACTTACAATGTTTCCAATCATTAGCTTTCACAAATAAAGCCATTATGAATAGCTACAGGTTATTTGTGAGTGCATCATAAAATGACTCTCTACAAGAGGAATTGTTTGGTCAATGGTCTTACCACAGGGAATTTTTATTAACTATTGAAAACCAGTGTCTCACAGGTAGCCCCTCCCCCATTTTAGAATTGGTAAATCTGAAACTCCAAGAGGGCAAGAGACTTGACCAGTTGTGTAGAGCCTAAATAAAACACCTGTAGCTGAGCATAGTGACGTGGGATCCCCTCTGGATGCTGTGAATATGTTTTATTACCATTGGTTAATAAAGAAGCTGCTTTGGCCTATGGCAGGGCAGAATATAGCAAAGCGGAAAATCCAAGCAGAGAAATAGGAAAGAAGGCAGAGTCAGAGAGAAGCCATGTAGCTGCCCAAAGAGAAAGATATCGAAACCTTACTGGTGAGCTACAACCTTATGACAATACATAGATTAATGGAAATAGGTTATTTGAATATGTAAGAGCTAGGTAGAAATATGCCTGAGCCATTAGCCAGTGTTATAATTAATATAGTTTTGTGTGATTATTTGGGTCTGGGTAATTGGAAATGAAAGAGCAGTCTCCATCTACAGCATAGTAGTTCACAGCTATAATCCCAGCACTTCAGAGCCTCCTGACCCAGCAGGATTGCCATGAGTTCAAGAACAACCTGGGCTACAAAGTGAGTCCCTATGTCTAACAAAGCAAAACAAAATCCAAAACACAACCGGTATAAGAATTAGTGCTTTTGTTGTTTTGTTTTAGTGGTGTCTTACCATGTATTTCTGACTGACCTAAAACTCAATATCTAGATCAGGATGGCTTCAAACTCACAGAGATCCGCCTGCCTCTGCCTCTGCTTCCCAAGTACTGGTATTAAAGATACACCACCATGCCTAGCTAGAATCAATGGTTTTGCTTGTTTGTTTCTTTAACAATTTCTAAGCAATGGGCTCAAAGTAATCTGGGACAGATTTCTAGATTATAAGAAAATCTATGGCTTCACATACAATGTTTTGCAATGTGAACTGAATTTTGAAAAATAAACATATTCTCTTACATGAAAGCAAACCTGTATTCTGGAAGATGAGAGAGGCAAGGAAGGAAGCAATTTACTCTTAACATGGTGGAATTTGGATGAGAGATGAGGTACAATGGCAGTCTGGGATAGGTAGTTAGCAGAGGCTTCCAAAGGAAGAGGGATTTAAGTGACCTTAGATCATCTAAAAAATGTCCTTTTAAATATTACCCACGACTTCCCTCTCACTATTTCCCATTCGAAAACATTCTTCATAAATAGGAAATTGAATTACTCAGTGGAAGTGCATCAGAACTGGACAACGGTGTTGGTGGTGGGAGGTGGTAAGCACCGTAATGGTGTATTGAGTTCCCGTGCACCTGACACAGTTTTCTGGGTCTGTGATTAACTAGCAGTATGACTACAGGTGGATAACATCACATGTACATTGTTGTCCACAGCTAACATAAGAATAGTGACCAAATGACTACGGCTCCTCACCAGTTCCACAGGCATGGCTCTGTGATGTGCAATATTATTTTAAGATGTGTTATGTGTGTTTATGCTGTGGCACTTTTGTTTAATGATGCAAAGATTTTCTGCATTCTTTTATGTTGCATTTGTTTTAACTCTGTGAAGCTGTGTTACTTTGACTGTCTATAACACCTGATAGGTCTAATAAAGAGCTGAACAGCCAATAGCAAGGCAGGAGAAAGGATAGGTGGGGCTGCCAGGCAGAGACAATAAATAGAAGAAAAGAGGGAGGAGTAAACAAAGGAGAAGAAGAGGAGGACACCACGGGCCCAGCCACCCAGCCATACAGCCAGCAACAGAGTAAGAAGTAAAAGAAGATATATAGACTAGAGAAAGGTAAAAGCCCAGAGGCAAAAGGCAGACAGGATAATTTAAGAACAGCTGGCTAGAAACAAGACAAGCTAAGGCTGGGCATTCATAAGTAAGAAGAAGTCCCTATGTATTAATTTGGGAGCTGGGTAGTGGACCCTTAAAAAAGCAAAGAGTAAAACAACAACAACAAAAACATACTGCTCTGTCTATATGTCTCTTTCTGATATCACAGAGGTCCTTACTAGGAGAGGAAGTATAAGGGCCTCAGGAACAAGGGCTAGATGATCCTTAAGCTAGCCAGCCTTGGGAAACTCCTGTAGAGACATGCTGCTGTAGCACATGAGTAATAGTGGCTAAGCGTTGTAGTTCTCTTTTTCTGAAGTGACCGAGTGTGTTATTTCATGTTGTCCCCATAGCAATGAAGGGAAGGAGGTAGTTAGGTGGTTTCTAGTCTCTTCTGGGGATGAAGGAACTGAGGCGGAACTGAGGCGCAACCAATGTAGGCTTCTAGCTTAAGATCCATGGTGAAACAGGGTGGACTGGATCCAAGACTACAGCCCTGATATCTGATGTTTTGCATAGAAGGCATCGTTCTAGCTGGGACTAATGTGAAGTCCCCATGACCTCCAGAAGCCTACACTTAGATGGCCTTTGTGCTGCTACTTCTCCTCCCTCACCATTCCCCAGCCGAGTAATAGGCCTTTCTCTTGATGCTGGAAGCAAGCCTTTCTTTCCATAGAATGAGACCAGTTTCCATAGAACCAGTCTAGTCTAGTTTTGGTGACTCAATTGATCTGACTGCAGGACCTGCTCTGGCCTTTGATGAAGCTCCAGTAGGACATTTTCCTGGTTCGGTGAGCATGTTGAACCTCCTCAATTACCCTCCTTACCTCTTGGCTTGTCTGAGCCTGGACCTACCTTGTTTCTCAGAGTCCTTACTTTCTGAGGATTCCTGTCCTAGCCAAAACCTCTCCTTCCTGAGCCATTGTGCTCTGTTTGTTTCTAGGTCCCCCTTTCTCTGTTCCGCTCAACATCTAGAGAGCTTCTGTTGGACCTCTTTGAATGTCAACTGCAAGACAGGATGGCTGTCCACCTCCTGTGGTTTGTTCGCCAGTTCATTTGCCTGCTCAGATGCACACTGCTGCTGACTTTGCCCCAAAGCTGCTCCCCCATCACAATGGGTAATGTCTCAACCCCAGGCCCAGTTTGCATAGCCTGGAGCTTTGATTGTCTGTAGGCCCTAAACTCTGCCTTGACACCCATCTTTTGGAGGGCCAACAGCAGCTGGCTCTGTCGCCCTTTCTGCAGCCTTATTTGCCCATCTATGGCAGTGCCCCCTAGGTTTTCTTTCCTCGCAGGTATGAATAAGAACACAGCGGTTCGAGGTCCCTCGAGGGAAAGCTCTGTCTGAAAACAGGCGTGATTACTATTTCCATCACCTTTCTAATCCTGTAATCACACATTTGCAGCAGGGAGCCTGGCCAGGGAGAGGCCGCGTCCACAAGCGGCAGGGAAGAGGGGGCCGCGTGTTGCATGCCAACAGTGCTTATTGAAAACGTAGGCATGGCTGCCTTTCATGAGCAGGAAGGTGAATAATGGAGGCATTTATCCCAAGCAGCTCACATTCAAACTGCGCGGACCTGTGTTCACATTATGAAAGCTTTGTCAAAGACATATCACCCTTCCGGGCCAAGGGGATGCTGACTGGGCTCTCAGTCCTGTCTGCTGGCTGGAAGGTGTAGGAGGGGAGGATGTCTGAATTGCTGGCCGCCCATTCACAAAGATTCTCCCATGCTCCTCCTTTTGGATCTTGTAACTTTTAATTTGGAAGCCCATCTTTCTATCATGAGTGGGAAAAATTCTTACAGATGTTTGGAAACTGTTGTTCAGAACAAATCCCTGGGGACAGGAGAGACGGCTTAGTGGTTAGGGGTACCCACTGCTCTTGCTGCAGACCAGAGTTTGATTCCCTGCATTCTGTCATGCAGCACACAGGGACCTATAGCTCCAGCTCCATGGATTCAACGCCCTCTTCTGGCCTCCATGGGCATCTGCACTCACGTGTGCTATAAGTAATTGTTATTATTATTATTTTTTTTTTAATCTAGGAGGAGTCTCTAACAGGTATGAGGTCAGTTTTTCTTTTGAGGTCATAAGAGAATGAGGCCAAATGAGGCTAGACTTCAGAAGGGGAGGGGAATGTTCTTCCAGGCCATCTGTGTGTGAAACAGATTTAACCAGCAGCCTTTGTGGCCGAGCAGAGAAAGGGGCCTTGGTAACACAGCAGCCACCCAGGTTACTGTAAGAGGGCGGCCCCAGCCAGAAAACATACCTGACTCTTATTTTTAGATAATTCCTTCCAATTGATCTACTTGCGTGTAAGAATCTCTTCCCTTGTGCGAAGGAAACTTTATCATTTGCTTTTGCTGCAACTCAGACCACCCTAGAGGTCAGCGGCATACAGGGAAAGCCTTTATTCAGCTTGCAGCTCTGAGGATCACCTGTGGTCAATGGAGCTTGGCCAGCTTCTGCGCCATGTCCCTCCTGTCCCGACCTGCTGGTGAGCAGAAGCATGCAGTGCCTCTTAAAACCTAGGCTCAGAACTGCTGCACTGCCACGTGACCCCAAACTAAGCTAAGGAGTGGAGAGGGGTACTCCATTCCTTTATGGGAAGACCTGAATGTATGGAGTGACCTTCTTGAGGAGTCTAATTCTATCGACTCCAGATGAAGAAGATAATGAACAACCAAAGTAACTGTTCAACCTAAGTCCAACGTGGCAAACCAACAGGCTTGTTGGGTTTAGTGACAGAAGCCCGAATGACCCCAGCAGCTGCATCACTGAAAATCCTGGGGTTTTACCCCACTGTGGCTATCAGCTCAGGAATTCTGCCTTCCTGACCTTCCTCATGCAACTTCCAAGCAGCTACACAACCAAAGAGTCTCCCCTGCTAAGAAACTTCCTTCTTCTTTCAAAGCCTGGGGTAGGGACCCCTAATCTCAGGGGGAAGCCTGAAAGTCATGCAAGTCTCCCGAGCCTTGTGAGAATGTGAAGTTCCCTGTGAATCTCACGAGCCTCACCCGCAATCACCTGGAGGGCACGCTGCAATTGAGTGGGAACAGCTGCAGCAAGTGGCGCAGAGAGAGGGTAGAGGAGTCGTGAGCTAATGACACAGACTCGACACTCAGAACGCTGTCACGGTCATGCCCCCCTCCCATGAGGCTTTAACAGAGCTCTTATAACCCCTCGTTGGGATGGAGGAAATGATACAGGGCCCTCCAAAAGAGACTCAGTCGTCCAGGCTAAGCTGACCTCATGACTCCGACCCGTCCTTCCTGCAGCACGTGCCTCCACGGCGAACAGCAAGGCAGAGTCTGCACTGAGCTGAATGATTCTTTCCATTTTGTTAAAGTTGGGTCCTCAGAAGCTGTAGTTTCCATGTCTGAAATTTCCCGGGGAAAACAGAGCAGCCAGAGGAACACACGGCCAAGAGCAAATAAATAGGAGACAGACGCTACAACTCGGGGGTCACGTGACCCGCATTACTGCTAAATGAGAGGCATGAAGCAGAGAGATGAGTGATGGCATGCCCAACCTCAACTCGAGACCAGCGCATGGAGCCGAGATCTCTTGTAAACGATCCAGACCGAGATTTCACATAATTCTAATAAAAGAGCGAGGCCTTACTAGGCCTCCGGACACTTCCGGCTAACAGGTTCTGAGCACAAGTTGTTGAATTCCATCAGTGGGCATGGCTGAGAACTGGGCTACCAGCAATGGGCTAGCAGCAGCAGCTCTGAGGGTTTCCAAAGATCTGCACATGACCCTGCCCCGTTCCCAACCCTGCAATCCTCCCATCCCCCAGATTAAACAAATCCTTGATGCTCTTTTCCCTGCCATGGAGCATATCATTTCACAGTGTCTCGTTTGCTAGAGGTTACCAAAAGAAAGCTAAATTGGGATTTTGTTCACTTGCTGATGACTTGCCCCTATTACCCAAGCTCATTTTCAGTGGCATTTCAACACTTTGGTAATGAATTAGCTCTACCATTTCTGACACAAAGAGAAGAGGGTCTAAATTAATTTTCAGCGAGAGATACTATTGGTCCAGGCCACTTCCCTCCCACTGTGTTAACATCAATGTCTTGTCTCGTTAAATGCCGATAAACAAGTGTAACACTCTAACAAGCCACAAATTGGCTTATTGACACCTCTGGCAGCTGCTCTCTCCTTCCCAAACCCTTGTTTCATAGGCATTCTGTGGTTACCCAAAATGGGGGCTCTTACGGAGCACAGGAAGGAGACCATGTAGCCATCCTAGGCTCCCAAGCTGCTAATTTTTGTTCTCTTTGATTTAAATCGAACAGCAGACTATCGAAATGCCTTGCCTCTGCTCTGGGCTCCATCTGTGGCCCAGGTATTAATGGCTTCCCTGCAGAGTGGGTGGGCTCACTCTGACACCCTCCCATCACCTCTCAGGAATGACACCACCAATGACTGTGACCTCACTGGGTGGCCCTCTCTGTGTCAGCAAATCAGTAGCTCTTTAACTAGACTACCGTGTTTGCTCCCGGAATGCTGAGACCCAGATGAGCAGGTCAGTGTGCAACTGCACCTTGGGCAACCCGCCCAAGAGGTCACAGGATGATCAAATGGCTGTTTCTTTGGGTGTACGGCAAAGGGCTGACCTTGCGCCTCCAGCAAGAAAACCATACTGGAAGATTAAAACAAAACAGGACCGATCAAGAGTAAAGGTGCTCACAGTTGCAGCCAATAACTGATGGATGCCTGCATACACAGTCCCCAAAGCTGATGGATGCCTGTGTACACAGTCCCATAGCTGATGGATGCCTGCACACAGTCATGGCCACGAGAGATCTTCCACCATAACCCTGCTTGAGAGCCTAGGAACAGCATAGAGAGCGCATTCTGCTCACCTGGGACAGATCTAGGTATTTTCAGAGCAGGAGGATGAAGGAGAGGTCTAATTCTTTTCATGTGAGGTTTTCGTTGTTTTTTCTGGTATTCGAAGTCCCATGCTGGGTTTCAAGTTCACATTGTTGTGAATCCGTCCAGGAAATCTCTGCTCTGTAATTCCCCCACGAGCATAGCTGTGTTATCAGTGATCAGTAGAATCAACAATAGGAAAGGGATATGAAAACAACATTGCAGGGTGCTGATCGCCAGGGAGATAGTCTCCCCGGGCTCTGTCTAAGCCTGCAGCATGGCTAAGGAAGGGGCTTTGCACGATCCCAGTTCTGCTCTGGACACAGAGCACAAAGGAATCGGGCGATAGCACTGAGTGCACGTGGCCATGGCGGGACATGCGCGTGAGTCAGACGTCGGATGTAGAGGATGCCGGTATGGAGCTGAGAGGAGAGGGGAAGGGCTTGTTAAGAACAAAGTTTGAGACATTAAGGTCTCCTTGGTGGTGGTTTCTTTTGACACTTTCCTTTGCAGGTTCTTATACCCATTTCCTGCCTTTCCTTTTCCATCTTTATCAGTATCATACTCCTCATGCGTGTGCGTGCATGCATGTGTGCGTGTGTGTGCGTGTGTGTGTGTGTGTGTGTGCCCATACCTTCTGCTGGAAACCGAGTTCTGTTAGGGCAGATACACATAGTGGATGAGAGGATGTGGTTATTTACTGCGCCATTTGAACATAACCAGTGTCTGTTAACTAGGAACAGCTGAACGCCCCGCCCTAAGTGCCGCTTGCCATCTGAAGTCTCAGGCAGTGTGGCAACACGGGGAAAGGACGGATCCGAGAGGAGGCCCTCCCCTGGCTGCATCCTGATCCAGAATGTTCGTCTCTCTCTCTCCATCTCACTGTAGCTCCTCTTTGAGGGGTCGGTTGAAATATCACTTCTTCAGTCTGAGGGACTAAATTAAGCTCCTCTGGTAAGCGCCACGGCAGTCCTTGGTATTTCTTTCCGCAGCACTTGGCATGCTCACGGCTTTATAATAAATCATCCATAGCTGTTGTTTAATGCCTATTTTCCCCATTAGACTGTGAATGTCACCAGGCAGACACCGCCTTGGATTCTGTTCTCATCTGTACCATCACACCACCGCCCGCAATCCCAGGACATGGCCGGGAACAGCTGAAAGGACACGGGACAGAAAATGTTCAAGGGAAGCTTAATGACATGGCAAGACCTCTACATGGTGTCACAGGCGAGAGAGGAGCATCAGCCCAAGGAAAAAATAGAGCTTGACAGGGTCTGGGTCTGATACCCCTTTGTCCTCTGAATGGGCTGTTCCTTGTCATGAAACAAACTCAGGTTGAGAGTCGTGTTCTCGAGGGTCCCCGACTCTGCTCAGCATCAGGAGCCATGGATGGCTTGATGAGCAGCTTGCTCATGTTCTCCATCTTGACTTTACGTGTCCTCTGGGAGAAAGAACTACTCACTTAAATGCCACACAAACTCCAAAATCCAAAAGAGAACTTGTAACCCTGTCCTCCGGTTCTCTCTCATTCCACAGAAAAGAACACTGAGACCCAGACACTCCAGAATCTTCCCCAAGGGGCCTAAAGCATAGGTAAAAGTCCGGAAGCCTGGTGTGCTCTCGATGCTGTTCCCACATTATTTTCTTTTCCTCCTTAAATAAAAGTTCTATTATTGAAAGAATGCTAAACATGATGTTGAGATATGAAAGAGACTTCTTTAAGAAATTAAACTTTAAGTTGAATATGTTAGTTGCCATCTGTAATCTCATATAGTAAGGAGGCTGAGGCAAGAGGGTCTCAAGTTCAAGGCCAGCCCAGACTACATAGAGAGTTTGAGGCTAGACTGAGCAACTTAGTGGTAGCTTATTTCAAAGTAAAGATCAAAAAGAGGGGGTGGGAAGCAAGGTGGGGCAGAGTCTGGGGATGTAGTTTGCCGTCAAAGCATCTACTTAGCTTGTATATAGCTCTGGATTCAACCTAACACATGCAGTAAAAATTAAAAATAAACTTTGCAATGCCATCTGCATTGATTTATTATGTTTTTTAAAATGATTTATTTATTTTTACTTTGTTCTGCTGGTATGTATGTCTGTACAAGGGTGTCAGATCCCCCAGAGGTAGATTATAGGCAGTTGTAAGCTGCCACATGGGTCCTGGGAATTGAACCCGGACCCTCTGGAAGAGCAGCCAGCACTCTTAATCACCAAGCCATTACTCTAGCCCCATCTTTAATGCTTAACTATGTGTTTTCAGCTAACACAACTTTTTTCTTTCGCACAGGCCTGTGTAAAAGACTTTTCCTGCTTATCTCTTCTTGTTTCTCAGATTTGCTACTCTAAATCAAAGTTCTGAGCTAGGGACAAAGCTCAGTTGGTAGAATGCTTACCTAGCATTCACGGAGCTCTGAGCTCAATCCCCAGCACCAGTTAAAACTGGATTGTGGGTGGGTAGAAGAAGCACCTGCCTGTAAACCCAGCACTTGGGAAGAGGAAATTGGAGGGTAAGACATTCATAATTACCCTCAGCTGTGTAGTAAGTTTGAGGCCAGCCTGAGCTAACTATCCCCTGCCACAAAATCAATTCAAACCAACCTCCCCCGCAAAAATTAAGTTTCTAAGATGTCCGTTGTCTTTCAACCAATCTATCTTCTCTCCATTTTTTTTGAAGGTGTGAGCCTGTTATTTCTCCACTGTACCCCCTCTTTCCTGATACCTAAGTACCTCTGAGAATCATTGACTTTCTTTTTCCACCTGTTTCTCCCACACTTTCAGTCAGGGTTGCCTGAACTTTACCGCGACTGTGACTGTAACCAATACCCAATAACTAATAACCAATGACCCTTTCTTTGGGCTGCACCTCAAACTTGAGTGTGAATACCAACCAAATGATTAGCTTGCATGTCTAAGGAAGGCCTGCAGAGGAAGACCCTCTGTAGTTGGGCACTTACTCCTGTTCCTAAACCAGGCATTTATCCCTGCTCCTGGCTTTTTGTTAATCCTTAGATCTTCTTGTCTGTGACCCACTGCGGTGTACCTTCTGATTAATAAAGCATGGTTGGAAAATATTCGGATGAAAAGAAGAAGCTGCACCTGTTGTGAAACTGTACAGACCTCACCTTACCACTGTCTCCCGAACTGTACAGTATAGCAACTATTTACACAGCATTTGCATTGCAACAGGTATGAAAATAAGCTAGATAGGATATCTGTGTCCCATTCTATAGAGCCTTGAACACCAAGTGGTTTGGACACCGTGGGGGTCTTGGAAACAATCCTCCAGAGATGCTGAAGGATGTGTCTTCTCCTGCCTCGCCTTCTCTTCTTCCTCCACACCAGCCCTTTAATCATAGCTGGAATGTCTGTGTGCCCCCTAAAAACTCATGTTGAAATGTAGTCCTTACTGTGGTACTATTTGAACGTAGAGGTTGAGGAGGTGAAAAGGTCATCAGTGTCCCTTGTCAATGGAATTAATGTCCTTACACAGAAAGTCCCAGAAATCATCTTCAGTCATGACAAGGCCAAAAGATAATATCTGGATATCAGGAAGTGGATCCTCAACCAGACACTGGCACTGCTGGGGCTTTGATCTTGAATTTTCCAGAGCTATGACAAATGAATTTCTACTGCTATAAGCCTCTCATACTATGATCAGCTGTTCTAGCAGCACAAATAGACTAAGATATCATTCCTAATGGACTATATGCCACATAGGTCCTTTCTATTGCCACTACACTGATAGCTACCCCTTTCAAATCACACCTTTTCCTTGGGGACTGACCCAGGAATAGTCTGGTTATTGTATTACTAGCTGTTTTTCTCTTTCCTTCACCCTCTGCACTCACCATCTCCCAGCATTCTATGCAGCTCACCTGTCTCTCTGACATTGCTTACCTTTCTGTTGCTGTGATAAAATGCCGTGACCAAGGCAACTCATAAAGGAAACTATTCAGTTGGCTTTGCAGTTTCAGAGGGTTAGAGTCCATGATGTCACAGCAAAAAACATGGCAGTGGGAACAGCTAAGGGCTCCCATTTAGGTTGGCAAGTGGAAAGCAGAGGGCACATTGCAGATGGCAGGAGGCTTTTGAAACCCATTCTCATAACATGTCTTCTCCAACGAGGCCACGCCTCCTAATCCTTCCCAAACAGTTCCACGAACCTAGAACCACGGATTCAAACACATGAGTCTTTGAAGGCCGTTCTCGTTCAAATGACCACAACAACTGTCTTTACCAGCAAGGATGTTAAATTAACTTTTAAGGTTAAGGACTAATTTTCTATGTTTTGTTCCCAAGCACCTACAACTGTTTCAGGTATAGAACAATCACACACTTGAGAAATATTTAGTAAACTGAACTGTTCAATTACTAAAGCCATCATAGTGGTGAGTACCTGAAATGCCCTGAGTCCTACCTTTGTGCCAGGCACAAGCTCAAGTTTTGTAGATGTATTTACTCCTTTAGCAGACAGCAACTACTAAGCTATAAGCCTTTATTTCTTTTAGGTATAAACTGCTTCTTTCCAAAGCAATTGTCAGTCAGATGAAGCCTGTTTATCTAAGGTCAGTGGGAGGAGGAGGTGCTTCAAGGAGAAGGGAAAGGAATGTGTGGTTTGAAACACAAGACTTGAGATACCAGCTACTTTTGTTGCAAATTACAGAAGTTGCCATGTAAAATACTCTACTCTGCTAGTCTGAGAAGTTATGGGAAGGTGAAATAAACAGAATAAGAAAATATTGCAGGTCCCTTGAATGAAAACGACATCCCTAAATGTAACCCTCATACTGCGTGAAAACAGAAGCACAAGGGCCAACGGTTGACGAGATACGAGCATGCCTTCCTGTGGTACTTGGAGATAAAAGAACATGGATGCTTACCCTAGAGCTTGACTTTTAAAATACAGATGCAGTTCAAGGCCCCCGAGCTTTTCACATCCATGGAAACAAGACCTCTCATTCCCACGGTTCTCATTCAGAGAGTGGCTCTCAGCTCCACCTGGAAGTCCAGACCCGCTGTGGACTCTATACCCCTCCTGTTGCTGAAGACCCTCACAGCAGCTGGCTTCTTCCTTGAGGGAAATGACATGTAAGAAGACCTCAAGGGCAATCAATCTGGTCACCTGAGCCCATTTTCCCACTAGCCCTGGCTGTAGAGAAAGGACAGCTGCTGTTCCTGTCTTAGAGTCCTTTCCCATTGCTGTGATGCAATTCTCCCTGTCTTCGTCGGGGGTTTTCTAAAGTAACAGAATTTAGACAATGTGTGCATACACTCCACCCACCTCCACACATGTGCAAAACTGCCTGCTCTGAACTTGATCAGGTGCAGGTCTATGTTTTAGGCTGATTCCCAACAGAAAACCACTGTTGTTTGATCAGGGCAGAAACCTCTCAGCTCCCCAGGCTGAAGAACCCTGGCCTAGATTCTCAGTCTCTCTCTCCCTTCCTCCCTCCCTCCCCCTCCTCTCAATCTCCTTCCTCCCTCTCCCCCTTCTCTCAGTCTGCCTTCCTCCCTCCCTCTCCTCCCAATCTTCTTCCTTCCCCCTTTCTCTTCCCCCCTCCCTCTTTATGCTTGTTTAGCAATATATAAGTGGCTACAACACATTAGCATAAAGAGGCTTCAAGAAGGAAGTGCGTATGTGTGTGCACACACGCAAAGTTTAAGCATAATTGAAAAAGTTAGTAAATCTGAAGAACAGTATCAAACTGGGGCCCTGTAAGACTGGACCCCTGTGGCCATCTTCTGCTTCATCCTTCTTTCTGCTCTCTAGGCACACTGGATCAATCCAGTCTCATCAGGATTGTTATTTCCTCAGGGCAATAACAAACCATCCCCACTGGCTGGAAAACACTTGGCCCTTTATCTGTATACCTGGTTCCATTTTTTATCTCTCAAACCCCAGCTGAAGTGGTACTACTTTGGATAAAGGACCTCTCAGGACATCCACTCTAACATGGATCCCTTGTATTCTTGGTTTCCTTTCTATCACTTTCCCCAGCTTGTCACGGGAGCAGTTTGCTTGTGTGCACGCTTATTTACAGGTAGAAACTGCTCAGCATCGCTTCTGATTCGCCACCCTCTTTACTTCCAGGGCGGCACGGCTTCCTGGTGAGGCCAGTGCTATGGCCTCACTGCTTTTCTGCACTGCCCTATGGCTTGCTTTGACTAAGATGTTAGTATAAGTGGAATTACTGCATTTGACCCCAGGCTTTCAGACTTGCACGGCTTCATGGGATTTCTCGACGCTGCTTCTCTCTGTTACAAGAAGAACCTCCTACATGGCTAGTTTCTACTTCCTGGGACCACAGTGAAGAACTGAGAAGCAGACTTAAGCCCAGTCATGGAAGTTGGAGAAGCTCCAATGAAGCCAGCCTGTTACTTTCTGGGCAATAAAAACAAACATTTGCTGTTGATGTACACTGTTAATTTGGGGGTAGTTTCTTATGGAGCATTGTTACAAAAATAGCTGACTACTACATGGGCAGCCACTAAAAAGCACACTAAATATTTGGTCCAAGAAAATAAAAGAAGTAGAGAGGGTTCTGACTTCGGTGGTATGTGCTGGTAATCTCAGTGCTGGTGGAAGGTAAGAAGGTATGGCAAAAGGCAGGGATGAGCTTGAGGTCAGCCTGGGCTATATAACAAGAACTTAATACACCAAATAAAAAGAGAGAAAGAGAGGGAGAGAGAGAGAGAGAAGAAGAAGAAGAAAAAAAATATGGATCTGTAAACCTAGTTCCTCAGGAAACTGAGGCAGGAAGACTGAGTTCAAAGGTAACTTCCAGGTGGGCACCTGGCTCAGAGGCAGAATGCTCACCTTGTGTGAGGCCTGAGGGCCAACACCCAGTAACAAGGGG